TTGTCTTTCAAGAGCTATATTAAATGTAAGTGAATCAATATCACTTTTTTATGAGAGATGCAACTAGTATGAGTTCCTAGAAAACAAAAAATTATCCTGTCTAAGTGACTAATTTTGTTTAACATGGAGTTGCCTGTTAATTTTCTTTTAGTAAATAATTTCATGCACAGTGAAAATTATGAGAATTTAACTTTCTTTCCATGAATACTAGGATATTTTATCTTYGCTTATAGGTTTCCATTGTTTTGTAGTATGTGGATGAACTAGGAATGCTTTCTTAATAGTTCTGAAGAGATCTCAGAAGTAATAATTTTCAGAGGAATAGCACATCACACAAAGACACAGCTGATAAAGCACAGAGGATGCTGGGGAGCCCACTGCAGGAAGCAGCCACACTGGATCATAATGACAATGAAGATGTGAAAACTGCCTTTCATTCTTTCAAATGGGACAAAAGATACCAACAATCTGATGATGTGGCAAAGCCCTTGGCTGTTAAATGATCCAAATTATATTATGGCTYTCTCATATTGTGAAATAAATGCAAAGGACTCATACAAAAAGTTACAGAAATCCAGAGACACKTGTCAAAAGTTCAACATTTATATGGTGGCAGGTTTTTATAACTTTATCTGATTGCTCAGCCATTTAAAAAGGATGTAAAGTGACTGAACAAAGACTCCAGAATAAATACTAATTTTTCACAACTCCTTAATTCTCTGAAAATTATCAAAGTCAAAGGATTAGGTATCAGTATTGCAGGCTGAGTAGTAGCTGTGTAAATTCAATTTTTTAACACACAGAGAGAGATGTATGAGCTGCCTAAATTTCACTGTGGGTATTGGATGGCTGGGTACTAACACTGAGGAGAGGGTGATTATAAATTCCAGAATATCTCTTTTGGAAAAAGATGACCTAGTGTAAGTTTTTCTGAATTAGAAAGTAATGAGGCAATTTTAACATTACCAGATATTTTCCAGTTTGAAGAGATTGCACACTTGAGCCTATTAGAAGAATGTGGCATGGTGTTGCAGCAGTACTTTTTTTCCTGATGCTGGAGCTAATCTTTGTTTTATTAATCTGATCTGATAAGGATTAAATGAAGAATTAATAGGGATAACATTAAGATTTGTACAGCAGAACTCATTAGAAACATTTTAACAAATCTGCTTCAAATAAAATAAAAATCTCTTGCATTAAYATCCCGAAAAAGATCAACCCAGCCTTCACTCTTCTCGCAAGAAATTTCACTATTCCCTGAACAATACAATTGTGAACCAACAGCAACCATATCTTTGGGAAAATAAAGGGAATTCATCTGTCCTGAAGGTTTGTCTTAATGAATTGACTTAGTGCATACCAACAATACTATTTAAAAAGAAAATTTCTGTGGGGTAGAGTTTCTTCATATGGGAAAAATATAAAAAAATATTCTAATTGGAAGCAGTCCAATTAGTCCCTGGCATAAATCTTCCTATGAAGTCTCTACAAATGTAGATCAGGTTAATATCAAAGTCTAGGTTATGTTGCCAGGTTTCAAAAGACAGGCTTCCTGTTCCTCCAAGGTACATAGTTAACACTACATTCCTCACGCTCATTGTAATTAAGAGCTGTGATTTATACCATGCAYACATCTGAGTCCTTGGACATCAATGTATTGGCTCAAGCTAACCTCCACAAACACCTAAGGAATGCAAAGTGCAAAAAGAAGAGACAACAAACTGGCAAAAACCAAAACCTTCATGTCAGCTGAAAGCYGTTCTCCATTGCCAATGAAGGCAGTGCACATTATTCTGGCTACAGACTTCACAGACCCTCAACACAGAAAAAAAGTCTCTAAAAATGCTTTTTCTGTGTCTCAGCAAGCTGCACACCACCCAACCCTGTCATAAATCTGCCACAKCAGTTGTACATTCATCTTCCCAATATTGCTCTCTGTTTTTGAGTTGGCAGTTGTTGACATGATACAGCCAACCAAGTGGGTCATGCCAGAGAATGCTACACAAGGGCTCCACAAGCCAACTCCTCATTCCATTCTGGTTCCACTATGRTGTTTTACAAGGGATTTATAAAGCTCCTAACAGGGTAAGGGTCACAGAAGCCAAATGTTGGCACCTTCTCTCTGCCWCAAGGGCAACACCAAAATCTAATCTTAGACTGCAAGGAAATCAGACTTTTCTGTGACCCTCCAGCAGYTCTGCTTCACAGAAGAAAGYGGYTGGGAGACATCACAATTTTCAGGTGATATCACAACACTTGTGTTTTGCCAAAGCCTTCCCAAAAGCAGAAGAAAATCAGCAGCATGACTTGAGTTTGCAGCTGTTACTGAACTAATGACTTGGCAGGAGTACCAGCTGCAGCTAAGAGGCAGATTTCATGTTCTGTGTATGCTGCTCATGCTGTAGCTGTCATTATGGCTCTTGCTGTAGAATTGCTGGATAACACACAGTGCTAGAAATGAAATACCTGATAACCTGATCAAATCCTCCTTGTGCTTTTGGTCCCCTACACCAGGTTCAGCCACTGCTCCTGGCTCAAGCGGAGGCGCACCCAGGACTCCACACTCCCCTCAACCCCAAATCCYCTCCTTCCCAGAATTTTGAAATTTGATTCTTCTAAACACATCAAAACCTTCAGCCTATATTCACCCATCTCTTTAGAAACTTGGTTTCCTACCTTAATTGCACTAGCCATCAGATATCCYATTTCAATCCCTCCTCACCCGTAGCACTTAAACAAAACATGTCTGGCCACCAATCTGCCAGGAAATACCTGCTACATTTGTTGCTAATTATTTTGTAGGTGTGGTCACTGTGACCAGAGCTCCAGCCCCTGGTCTGTGTGGCACACATGGTCACTTGCCTAGGCAGAGGGTTCCTGAGGATCCTGCCTGTCCATGGCTCTGGGCAGCAGTCACCCTTTGGCTGCTCTGACCCATCCAAAGGTGCCTCCAGCTCCTGCCTGTCATTGTGCCCTGCTGTCCTTTTTGGGGGACCCCTCATTCCATCCAACTCTGCCTGGCATACCTTCCCTGTGCCCTCTCCTGAGGAATGTGCACTTCCTCCTTCAGCCTTTTTACACCTGCTTGTGCCAGGGCTCCCCCCTCCACTGGCAGCATCCCCATCACTGATCTTTCTGGAACCCACCAATGCTCTGTGCCTGAGTTTAATTTGCCTCTAACCCCACCCAGCTCCAAGGGCAGGCCCTGCTCCAAGACCATCTCCCCAAGAACAGTTCTACAATSGGGGTAACTTCAGTTTACTTTAAAACACAGAAGGTTAAAAGTGTTCTAYATCAAAGAAACTGCAAAAGAGCACTACAGAGGTATGAGAGCGACCTTGGTCAAGAACAGACTGGAAGGAAAGGGGAGGAGGAGAAASATGGGAAAGGGAGAAAAGATGGTTTGGGATAGGCACAGATATGCAGTAATCCTTCTTACAGTTATTAAAAAGGAAATGAAGGGGATAGGTGAAAAAGGAAATACTTAAATTCAGGAAGRCAGATTCTTTTTCAGCAATGGAAAYTGAGTATTCAAAACTCCTTGCAATAAGAGAGTGAATTATTTCACCTTAGCTACATGAAAGTGCCTTAGGTCATATTCTCATCTCACTCTACAAAGATACACAAGGCGAGTCCCTGAGCATAGAGAAGGGGAACACACCACATGGTACGACCAGGTGACAGCACAAGGACACTTTGGAGAGCATCCCTGCCGTCTCCCTGCAGGATTTCATGGTGTGCAGTGAAGCACCTACTGCTGGGCTTTAGGCCTCTGCAACACCAGCGTAGGGGCACCTTTGGGGTTACAAAGGAGCAACCACGACCAGGCAGCAGGGAAAAATCATTGTATCACAGAACCATCTGGGTTAGAGGGGACCTTGAAGATCCCCGATTTCAATGCCTCTGCCATGAGCAAGGCCAATACCCACTTGACCATGCTGCCAATTTGCCAAAATTGCTTACAGGTATGTCCATTAGTCTGGTACTCCTGCAACTTGAGAAAAACAGATTAGAATTGATGGGCTGCGTACTTTTTTCCAGCTGTAGTGCAGCTCACTGCTATTATTTGCTTGTAACAAACATCTGTTCCAAGATGCAAGCACCTACAAAATGCCTCAGTGTCTCCAAAATTACAAGAGGTTAGTTTGTTAAACATTCAATCTACACAAATACAGGCTTCATGCAAGACAGATCTGAGTACAGACTGATTATTCTTAGCATTGCTAACTATTACTGGCTGCTGTGTGTGGAAACATCAAACCCAATACTTTCTCAGACATTTTCCTAGATAAAACATGTTATGTGAAGGTCAGCTTCCTCAGAGGCTCCTGCTTTTAGAAATTAAACTGGCTTCAAAAGAAAGGAAGCATTTAAACAGTGTCACGGCAATATGGCTTACTCAATTATTAACTAGCTGATCTATTTTTAATTGCTCATGTACCTCTTCAAACTCAGSCTAGGTCAGCCATGAAGGAGAGCAGCTACCAGACATCTGGCAGCTGCCTGCACAGGATGGTCATGGATCTCCCAGCCAGTGGATGGGGCTCAGGTTAGAGAAAACATCAGCACAGATGGCACAGCCGGGTGCCCAGGACTGGCCTCCCCGTCACTCACAGCAGAGTGGCCGAGGGCGTGTTTCTGAACCACTCTCTTACCCCTAAAGGTAGTCTCTCCAGGTCAGGGTTGAGGCACATTGGTGGGGCAATGAGGGGAAGTTTGCACTGCTGCTGCCCATGCTGTATCTGCTCTACAAATAAATAGAGGACTTTAGTCTCCAGGGCTGTCAGTTTGGCACCTTCCATGTGCACAAAAGACACTTTTGTTCGTTTGCTCTTATTTTCTTAGAAACAACCACCCAAAAAGTTATATGCAAAGCTTAGTATGGCAAATCAAAAGAAATCAAATTTATTGTATGAGAGCACCTAAAATCCCACAACTTCCACTTGCTCTCTCTTTTGTGTTTGCTACTTTTAATTGTGATAAGAATAAAAGTTATGGACCTCTTTCGGTGTTTCTTGATGACAACGGTTGCTGTTCCACCACAACTCCAATGCTGCCACCAAGCAAGCAAGAAGAAGGCCTATTGCTAAAATGCAGAAAACGCCTGCAAAACTGTGCAGCTTGAGTGCCTTCCCATCTGTCTGTGCATTGGTATGGCTATTCAGGTCACAACGTCCCATCCGTGGCCACCACTTCTGTTTAAGAACATCCAAATCTCCACTTTCTTGCAACTCTAGGATCCTGCAGAAATTTCAAAAGACAAGGATTATTTGCAGTGATACTTTTTTACAATTTTTTGTCTTTTCCTTATGCTGCACAACTCTTAACTACACCATCCCACAATTCAAAACTCCACCACCATCACCAACAACACCACCAATGCTGTTTTCTTAACTGAAACTTGTACTAAGATTTCTTTCTACTCACAGCAGCAGGTAAACTCCACTGGGTAACTTTAGGAAAAAAAGAGACTGTCAAAAATTCCACTGCAATGCAAACAGAATTTCCAAGGGAAATCACCACATTCCAGTTAGTCATGCCTGCTCTGGCTACATTCAGCTGCTGCAGCTGGTCCCACTAGTGAAATGCTCAACCCACTCCACTGCTGCTCTCCCACAATAATTTCAAAAACATGCAAGGCTAAACATGCTACTGTTTGTGCACCACTTAGTACAAATCTGTTTAAGCAGCGACGGACTCATTTACTTCAGCGAATGTAGTTTATTCAAAAGGATTTTACTTCAATGCTGTTGCTTAATGCCTGAATTACTGTGTTAACAGTTGCTAATTAATCATTGTTTTGTCTCTTGTGAAGTGTCCCTTCTCTGCATGAATGATTCATTTTGGATTTGGTTTGATAACTGTTTTAGCTGTTTACTAASAATCTTTTCTCTTGAGGCAKCTTTGTCTCTAGTTATGCAGCTGGAGCTTTGCTCCTTTTTATAAAGGAGGAACAAGATGAGGAAATCTTGCTTCACWTCCCTGCCTGCAGTGGAGCACCRGCTCATCTTCTGCTAAGGGCACACATGCCTGCACAACTGCATGTCTTCATTTCAGGGTACAATCCACATGGATGATACTCCCAGCTGATAGCTCAGGGATCACTAACTGGCACAGTTTTATAGTCTCCTGGTGCTGGCAATTGTATGCAATACTTTGCATTTCTTGTTTCCCTGTGCCACTGTGACTCTGTGACCTGTCCCATCCACCCTCTAGAATAAACCAAGGCACTGTGCTTGCTCACTGCAGGGAGCARCTCAGTGCTTCAGAGCCTGCAGAATGTAGCATGGATCCAAGATTCTCTTCAGTCTGTCCTCTACCTCACACAAAGCTCTGAGGACATCAGTCCTCTCTGCCACAGGCAGTGCTGTCTGAAGGTGGGAGGCCAACAGTCACCTCCAGTTCCCTTTTCCCAAACCAGATGCACATGGAGCAAAAGCAGCAGCTTTGTTGGAGGCCCTGAACTCGTAACTTCTCTACTGTCATATATTCATTTTACTTTATTAATGAAATACCAAATGTGAACCACAAATAGTTGCTGGCTATAGAAAGAAATCCTACAAAACAAGCTTTGTTTCAGTTTACCTCTGTGAGAAAATATCTCTGTAGGGGCTTCCATGCTGGAGTGCTATCCCATATCCTTTGCTGCTGATGCTGTTTCCAATGACTGTCACAGAGCATTCATCATCTGTCAGTGCAGCATATTCCACCACTGTCACATCCCACAGGAAAGCGTAATTTCCTTTCTTTGCCTGTAAATACACATGAACACAACACAGGCTAAACTAAACTGCATTTCCAGGCAGGACAAAACTCAAGACAGAAAACAAATCCAGATCTTGCCATTATTCCTTGGTGGTATTTCATTAGGTCACAGTTTGTCTGTAGACCTTCAACAACATCACAATACATTTCTAACACTCTTCCCTCCCAGCAGAATCTCACCTACTTTGAATCCTGCTAAAATATCTTCAGTTTTTAGTAGGAATGCATAGGATAATACAGCCAACTATAAGTGCAGGTGAGGCTTATGTAATGTGTAATTAATTATAAATGAAAGATATTGCTTTAAATGAAGAAATCTGATGCTTGTTTTGTAGGAGACGTGGAGTGTGACTGGTTCCATGCATTCATGTAACAAGAGTGGCACAGTATTAAGTGATGTCTCCTAGTCATCAGTCACCAAAATAGTAACTTTGCAGCTTTGCTCATATAAACATGTAAATAAATGAATTTCCCTTACAAATAAATACAGCCCTTCTGAGAGCTATGTTAGTCCTGTAACAAAAGGCATGCACTGAGCTTGAAGAATTCCCTCTTTTCTTCACAGGTAAGAAGATTCACAAACATCCACTATTACCTCACTTTTGGGGTAAATATTTTTTATATTTCAACACAGACTCATGCAGATATCATTAAACACCAGCCTTAACTGGGACTGAAACCAATGCCTGCACACAGCATACATAATGAACGTAAATCACCTTACTTAACACAAGATGTAAGAAATGTATCTGGATATAGATTCAGTAAATTAAAATAAAATAGGTGAGGTATCTTCTAGTAGACAGAATTTGGGGAAACAAAGATTAAAATTATGTTGCCTGGATTTTCTGTAAGCTCCTTGCTGCAATTCACCTGTTTCCCCCCCTTCCTTTTTATCTGCATCAAGACAAAGATCCACAAATTCATTTGTTTCTGGGTTAAAACAGAGAAGAAATGTTATATCCCTCCTCTTTGGTAAGATTTAAATGAGCCTGTATACTGACTCCTTGGAAAATATTGTTCTTATTAAGGACATGCCACTATTGTCAGTTTATGCCCACTTTCTCCCTTTGCCACCTCCCTCCTTTCAGTTCAGTGTACGAAGTTTGCTCTTCCTGTGATGGGTTTCAATGATTCCCATTTCACACCTCCAACCTATTTAGGGAGCAGAGGCAATGGCCACTAGTCCCACAAGTGTTTCAGGCAGGGAAGGACTGCCAAAGGCCCTGGCTTTGCACATCATCAGGCACATTGTGTTCCATGGTAAATAATACATAGGATTCTGCTGCCTGTGACAGGAGACTGTCAGCATTAAAAATATGTCCTCATGGGACAGCAGCACTTGTTACAGTACACAGAACATATTAAAAATCCATGCTATTAGAGAACAAAAATCTTGCCTGATGGATATACAGATATCAGACACCCAGGAAAGATTTGACCTAAATCATAGTAAAATGTGTCTTACATTTTTTTAAAGAGCTGTATCTATCTTTTGTTCTTTCAGAACTGGTTAGTAAATCATCTTTTCAAGTTTATCATTTAGAAAAGAACACTGACAATATAATACATTCCTTATCAATCTCCTAGTAATAACTGAAGAACACAATGTTCCTCAAATATTCAACTTCCATTATAATGCAAAGAGATGAATTATAGCTAAAGAGAAGAATCACATTATTGATTCTACATTTCAAGCCKCATTTTTCTGTATGTTATTTTATAYAGAAGAGCTTTGTRCACTGACTTTCAATGCTGGTCAGCAGATCTTTTGTAAAGGTCTACTTCTCTTGCATTTGTAGTGTTGCAATCCTGAATTACATCCTGCAACTGTAAATGGTCAATAAACCAAGTCAGCCAGCTCTCTTCATACCTATTTTACATTTTTTAATGACATAAATCATTCCATCCAATGTCATCAACTGCAGGGCATTATTTCTCTGACAGCCTGATCATTTCAGCATAAGCAGCAATCTGACTTTTAAACTCTTGGTTTTGCGTTTGTCTCCACCCCCAGAAATCCTGGGTGCATGACTGCATCCCCTCTCTGATTACCAAAACCAGAATCTCCAAAGATCCCTCCTTCCTAAGGGAAAACATATTCCTTTCCAGACTTCTTCCACTTGTGAAATTTTCATCTGAGGAGTGGAGACCTTCTACTATTGGTGTGTTCATTGTGTGGAAGGTTTTCTTACAACAAAATGTTTAGTTGCTGTCTAAATTCAGCATCCTTCACTTCCCGTTAGTATCTGTTGTGACAGCTAAGCAGTATCATTTGTTCAATTTAAGGAAAAGCTGTCAAACTTTGAAAAACATATGTACAAGACACATAAGTGCACACATACATGTGTGTTTGAAGTATGCTGACTTTTTATATACGCTCACTAGGCAGGCAGTAAAAGCCAAATAAAATCAAATTGACATTTATTTTCAATGGAAAATAAACCCCAATTTTAAACAGAGTTTAAACTTTCTTTTTTATTTTAATGGCAGACTGTATGTGTGCATATCTGCCTGCCCCTTAACTTCCAGGCCGTCAGGGTAGGAACACTGGCAAAAGGGCCTGTGGCAAACACCAGCTGAGAACAGGTGAGACAGTTTGAATAAAAAATGACTGAAATAATACACACAACAATGAGCTCAAATTTATACTTTTGTCTTCTAATTGTACTTCATATTTTGCTGTTTTGCTATGGCCTTACTGTGACTCTCAGCACACAGGCATGCTGCACAACAAAACAAAACTCACTTGATTAAACTTTCAAAAACCTGTTTATCAGAAAGTCAGCCAAAGCAGCACTCATTCATTCCACCCAGGTAGAACAACTACTATGGCTTGCACCAAGGACACCAGATTTATCTGTGGTTTAAGAGATTTAAGAAAACAGATTTAAGAAAAAAAGAACCCTCTGGGCAAAACTTATATTAAATAAAAAACAAACAAAGCTTCACAATCCTAAAAAAAGTGAAAAGGCCAAAGAAGATTGCTTCCTAGACAAGAATACTCCAGGAAAGCAGTAAAAAGCAGCAAAGCAGTATTACTCCAGAAAATAATACTCCAGGAAAGCATCACTCTTCAGCATGGATGGAGATTGGATGGAAAATATTGTTCAAGGGGGACCGGCTTACTGATGGTTAAACAATGTTGCTTCAAAGAAAGCATGATAAGAAACAATAATGTGAAAAAAAGACTGATTCCAGGTTAATCACTGATATATCTGTGATTTACCTGAAACTCGTGAAGAAGTTATCATACTAAAGACAGAAGTGCCAGAAAAATGCAAAATTCATCATTAATTTACTGCCAGAACAGAGTGTCACTGCAGCTGATCCCATTATATGACTGCTACCACAGAAATATCAAAAAGTGACCTTTATATTGGCATTAGTGGAGTAGCTCAAAAACATGCTTGGGTAGCATTTATTATCTATAAAAGGGTGCTTTAAGAGAAGCAACACAGTTCTAATAAAAAGAAAAACATGCTATTGAATCCTGCTGAAATATTTCAAACATTAAAATAATTAAGGAACCACTATAGGATGCTACAGATTCCGGTTAGAGGAGGCATTGCTTTTGCTTCAAAGGCTTATGGGTCAAGAAATGGTGAAATTTATGAAGCTCCATGAAAGCATGTGGATGAGCAACCACAATTCACAATATAAAATTCATTGTGGACAATGCATTATTGGGAAAAAAAGCTTTTAAAAAATCATATTAAATGAACTTCTAAATTACTTCTACTCTCCAAGTAAGAATGAACAGAGGTGACACTGCTCAAGAAGATCGCTCTGATTTAATGCTTAGTGATCATTAAGGAAGCAAAAAAGAGAAGGAATAAATTCTTACTGTGCCATTGCCTAAATCAATGATGTGTTCTCATTTTGTGCTCTACTTGGTTTTGATAGCTTTTGATCAAAAGTGAGACACAGGAAGAAAAGAAAGGATTCTGAGAAGTTTTGGCACCAAATTGATTAGACAGAGGAACAAACAATCTCAACAACAGCAGGGCATTATAAAATGCAGCAATTGGAGTTTAATTCTCCTATCTGCATATATAGCAGATACAGGGTTACATAGGGATCATATTACTTCATTCTTTCAAAGCAAAAAATTGGTGCTCCCACTGAAAATAAAAACCACAGCTTATTATGTATGTGGATAATCAATAATTACCTTGAATAACTGATTAATACTGGATATTATATAAACAGTTCACTGAGACCCTGGCTGTAGGATGACCCAGGAAAAAACTTTCCTGTGGCACTGTTAGTCAATCCTCATCTGTGATGGCCCCAGACAGCTCCAAGTGGCAAAACAGCATTTTGTACAGACGGTGGTTTGTGTGGTTTCTACTCCTGGGCTATGTAGAGACACTGATGAGGTTTTCCATCTTCAGTTGAAAATGGCCAACTTTTTCAGTTGAAAATAGCCACTTTCAACTACCTTGGGAATACAGCAAAAGCAGTGTTCCCCCCTCCTCCACCACCACCCTTGGCTCTCAATCGTCCTCCCATCCCTTATGTGATACTGAAATGCATTCCTGCACTTTCCATGGCTCTCCCAGTGCTGCAAAAGCTGAGCCTTGCTCAGCTGGGAGATGGTCACTGCGGCTACAGGGACCCTGCAGTGTCTGAAGAGAGACGTCTGCCATGACAACCAAATGCCATGAAAGCTCACAGGACTTTGCTCCACTGCCATCCTTTTCAGACACTCCAAGGGAGCAGGAAAATCTCCACGAAATGGAGAAAGATAAATGGAATAGGGAAAAACACCTGAAATAGCTGTCTGGCATAAATAACCAGCACTCCCTGTTTTGCACTGAAGTGGCACTGCTTTGTTTGTAACTGCAGTTGAACTGTGATACTGCCTGAAGAAAACAGAAAGGAGAAGGAGGGAAGAAAGAATAGTAGTGATTTTTTTCTTTTTTTTTTCTTGCATTGTGTCAGGCAAGTCCTCATTCAGAAAAATGTTTTATGGATCTTTTTATGCTAGAGAGATTTAGAGTTCCCATTTCCTACGAAACCCATTTGTAAGGCACATTTACATCTCTTTCATGCAGGAGTATGTGTTTATGGAAAGAAACTCTCATTTCCTTGGCTGACATCAATTCTCCTTTAGAATAAGTCCAAGAATTTCTTGCTGTAGTACTTGACATGGAAAACTTGTCTGTTTATTCAGAGAGCTCAATGAGCTAGCAAGAGTGACACTTAAACTATAAACACAATAGTTTAGTTGACAATGTTATTAAATATTAATCCCAATTTATGTAGGTGTCTAATCAAATAGTGGCCTTGGTCATCTTTGGGGACCGAAGTAAAATTTATTTGCTGTTGACATTATTTGAATGAGCTGATCTAGTTATATAAAAATCACCCTACAACACTGAAATCAAACTTAGTATGAAAAGTTATTATCACATAGATAGGATGGAGCTGCCAGCTCCATACAGACAATATAATTGGTATTCTCAACTGCCTGCCAATCTACAGTTACATTTCTGGCTTAGCAAATGTAGCTATCATAAATGGCAGCATGCACTAGGCTTACAAAATAAGAGTATTTACAATTTCATGGATAAAGAGCATCCACTGCCAGTAGAATGTTATAAAAGAAATAAAGAAAAGGAAAACACTGTATATTTCTCTAAGGTAAACTGTTTTATTATAGAAAAGTAGTTAATGTCTCCATGTCTCCTCTAAATGCTACCAAAACATCTCAAAACACAGGCCTCATTTTCATAGAGTGTTGAGCAGATTAAAAAAATAATCAACCACTGCAGACTTTGCTATTGCCAGAGCTCCACCTCATCCCAAGGAAGGTAGGATTTTGGAGCTGAGGGCAGAGGGCTTTAGGGAAAGCCCTAAAGAGCTGAGAGATAGAAAAAAGGCAGGGTGAACCCACACTTCTGACTCCTATGCTAAGACACAAGAGTGTCTGTATAAAGATTTTGTCCAAAAGTCAAGCAAAGAGTTGGGAATCTTTTGCTAAAGGAATTTGAATTTTGAAATGGGATGACTTGTATTATTGTGTTCACCCTCTTTATGGCACTGTAAAAAACAGTAGATTTTGACTACTTGCTTTCTGGCTGTTCAGAAAAGTTTTCAAAAATTCAAAGCAGAAAAAAAGAAACGCAAGCCAAAACCATTTTCTTATTTCCCACATACAAAATCACAAAGAGCTAGTAAATCAGTGTTTCACTGACAAGAGTGTCTCTGATCAAACATTCACTGTCTTAATAACAGCTGTCAGCTTGTTTTATAAAAAAATCAATTGACAGATAAAGAGGACACTTTTCACTAAAGAAGCAGCACATCAAGGCTTTCAGCATGTTTGCATCCCTTCTGCTGTAATGCACTCCTGGACATGTGTTTGATGTAAGGTCTGTCTGCTTTTGCTGAGATTCAAGATGGGGAGCTGAGGGAAGAGACACCTATGACAGAGTGTGGGCATTGCTAATGGCCAAAACTCTTTATCACAGAGCTCAGAACAAAGATACAACATCCTAAACTGTTACACACCAATCCTTGAATCCTGCATCAATACTCTGATCCACAAAAAAGAGGTGCCATCTTATCTGAGAGGAATAAAATTTTGATAAAACAGTGTCATGTGAATGCATTTTTTAAAATCTGGAGTAAACAAAGAAAAATCTTTCATTATATTTCTGTTTTAAGAGAAATGAGTATACATTCTGTGAATCCCTTGATTCTTATTCAGAAAAAAGAAAACAAATGAGCAAAGGACAAGAGTCAGTACTGGATAATGTAAAGAATTACATTCAGAAAGGCATTCTCAAAGCCTCCAAGAAACTGAGAAACCTTCTGACCAGATCCAAAGAATGACTCACACACATACTGAAGATTTAGGCAGAGCTAAAGTACTTACATTCAGACCCATAACACCAAAATATGATTCTTACCTGTCACTGAGGTACTCAAAGGAACTTTAGATAGGAATTTAGGCGGTTTTTGAACTTATATAATTTTTCCTGAGACTTAACATTAACTTCACAGAAACAACATTGATACAAAAATTAAACAAAACCCCCTGTAATCCAGTCTTACCTTCCTGATGCCTTCAGAAGGGTTTGATACGCAATTATCTGCCCCATTATTCTTACTGATAGTCCTCCAGAGTTCAGCAAATGTGTTATCCTGCTCCAAGGGGTTGGTCCCTTTTGCTTTAAAGTATTCATACACTGCTGAGTCCCTGACTGTACCRTAAGATATATCCATTTGTTTGGACAGATCCTGAAATGTTCTGAAATTCAAGCAATATGGAGAAATTAGTACGATGCAGTACATTAGCAAAATTTCATTAATTAAATGGTTTCTAWGTCTGTCATTAGTCAGAAAGCACTKACCCTSACCAYGTAACATTTCCGTATTTCATTCCTCATCATAAAAGAAAACCAAGGAGTTATTTAAATGTACTGAGATCATATGATTTTAACTACATCCAAGCTCTGTTTCACCCCAGTGAAGATTTTTTTTTTTTTACAAGATAACATTCATGTTAAATAAGCCACCGAAATTGGACAAGAATAAAATGTGATAAAGACTTACCTGAACACAGGAAAAACTCAGATTATAAACATAAATTTCCAGCCTCATCAATTTCACCAGAAATACCTTGGAGAATTCAGTGGAATTAGTTTGCAGTTAAACCAATGCTCCATCTGACTCCAAATCAATATGACTGTTTTAAACAAACAAATAAAATCTTGCTTCCAATTTCCACTAAGTCTCTCTTGCTCTCTCTTTTCACAGCCTCTGGTAAAACAGGCATTTTTCATTCACACAGAGACCTAACTTTCATTTACTCATCATACACCACTCTGGAAGTGTAAATGGGCCTCACCCTGAGTGGCTGTGAATGCACAATTTATTTTCAAATTGTACAGAATGTAATTCACTCCTGTTTTACAGCCTTTTCTGCACCAAAAGGTGTAAATCACTGCCTGCATCAATGAAAAGCAGCCCAAGATTTAAAACATTTAAGGTGGCATCACTGCCATCAGGAGCAGCATCCTGGCTGTTTCCCCCTTTCAGATGCTCATTCCCATTCCTGTGCCCTCTTCCTTTGCCCTTAAGCATCACTTCTGTGCAGTGCTACCATTTTTCCATCTGAGCATACAAACACTCAACCATCGATCACCACACACAGCAGCAGGACCAAACCGGATCACATAATTAATGGCTTCTTTTCTGTTTTATAAATATGGGACTTCCCATGTTAACAGCATGCTTCTGGTGTGACCAACTAATGCTGCTTGACATCAGTTAAACTAAAGCAACTCTCCCTACCTTGCCCCTGCCCCTTTTACCCAAAAGAATCCTTTAGAAACAAAAAATTCCTGATCAATAGATCTGAAAGGCCCCCTCTCACCACCTCCCCCACACCTGCATTTCCTGGAGCCACAAAAGTGAAAATTTTGGCTTGCAGCGTGTGCAGATTCCTTCACAATGCTCCTGAGAAGCCTTCCCTTGGCCCATGAGCCAAAGCTGTTTTCCACAGCTGAAGACTTGTCACAGACAATATTTTTCTGCCACCCTCTTCCCTGTTTCCCTGGGGAGATGCCACTGCTGACACCTCACATGCCTGTAAGATTCCTACTACACTATTTAAAGCAGAACAATCTGGCCAAACACACAATACCACATAAAATTACGTAGGAAGCTCTTCCCTCTTCTCCCTCCCATCACCCCCAGGCCTCCCAAGTTTAGCTGCAAAAAGTGCCCTTTTCTGGGGCTCCTGGTGTGGGAGCCCTGTCCCCAGGCTGCAGCTCCACAGGGCTGCCTCTCAGCACACCCCCCACCCCAAACTGCAAATTCACAAGCTGCTTCAAACAGTTTAAGTGGTTTAAGTTCTTAAATTGTGTTAAGGACTTTTTATCATTTTAAGCTGTTAAGCAGCTTTAAGTAAGACTGTGTGAACAGTTTCTCTCTATATACATTGCACACTTGTGGATCTGGGCTAACTCTAGAGTTCCATCAAACCCCAAACTTCCTGTTATGTCCTTAGCTCTTTATATGGCAATTGATAAAGTACAAATCAAACATCCTGGAGGCTGCTGGAAATTCAGAATGCTAACGAAAAATAGGAAACTTTATTCAGATTTTACTTCTTTCTTTAACAGGCCTGAAAGGTCTATTCTGTCCCCCTGAATGTTTCCTGCACCATTTTTCCCTCCAGTCTTGATCTAGGTGACTTCATGCTGCATTTAGTTCTGTCTTTACTTTTTAAAATAAGTTTCATCATATCCCAGGGAATTGCTTACATCCTGGAAATGGATGATTTGGCTGGAAAATGACACATTTCTGCCCACAGGGCAAAGAAACACTCACTATACACATGAGGGTTTTCTGTGGCAACCCCTTCACACCAGGTTTAGTGCAGAGATTTTGGTGTGTGTAGGTAACCATGTTTGGTACAAGCACAGTAGCAGAAATATGTCTAATTAATAAACTTTAGCACAGCTTTCAGCTGCTAACAACTTTACAAATGCCTAGTGCTCATACTGCTATTCTGTTTGAAAGTTTGAACATGAGAGTTTGGATAGTTAAAAAAATAATGAAATCTGCAGTTTTAATATTATCAGTATTTTCTGTTTTCCTCTATTGCTATGGAAGCTTTTACTCGGAAATGTGCATTTTGTTTTAGCTAAATTGCACTTTATTGACAATCAGTATTTTTATTTTTGCTAAATTACACTTTATTGACAATCAGTACTGCACAAAGGCACAGTACATGTTGCTTTACGAGCAGCACAGTTTGTTCAATTCTCTCAGCATCACAGGGCAGAGTAAGCAAATCTGGGGTTTAAATCAAGTGCTTGCAATAAACAGAAAAGCACAGGTGGCAGGGAGGGAAGCACAGCCTTTGCCTGGGTGTGGAGAGTGAGGTAACTAACTACCCCTTTAGCTGGCAGCATTTGCTTGGAACAGAAAATGTGGAGTATTGTATGTGCTAAGGACTCCTTGTAGGGCACTACAATACATCTTTGATGTATTAAAAGAACAGCCACTGACATAGGAAATTCTCCATGCTGCACCACCACTAGAAATATCCTGTGAGGGACAGAGATGGTTATCAGAGGATACAGTAAGGGGCACAGGAGGTAACCAAGCTCACAAGCAGTTCCTGAAGCATAAATTCAGAAAGATGGGGACTGTTTGAGAGAGAAAATAAACTTACACCTTTACCAAATGGACCACATAGCCAAAAACCTATCCCAGGAATGATACTGACAGGGGGTGGTCTCAGCCACAGTTCTTACTCTGTATAAAGTAATATCTCTGTGCTGTATTTCTGCACTGAAAGTGGAGATGATGCTCAGCACCTCCATGGCTAGAGAACTGGTCAAAAGATTGGGCACAGTGGGTATGGGCACATATATAAAAGATGCTGAATGGAGATGAAGATGTCCTATTTTTACAGGTTGGAGTAGGATAATCACAAGGGCAGGTCTTAAACACTCTTATTTTAACTCCCTCAGATTTGCCTTTGTCAGACAAAACCATTCCCTGCTAGATTTCAGATACTGGCTGTATCTTACAATTGTGTCATTCTCTAAAGGCAGCTGCTGTCATTGTTGTTAACCTTTATTTCTGCAACCAGCTGTTAGCTGGACCCTTCTCCTTTAGGTACTCAAATTCTTGTCTAACCTTCTTATAGCAAAGATTTCAAGCATTTAATATACAAAATTATTTGCAACAAAAATGTGCAGCGTAACAAGATGCCCCATTAACCTTACCACCTCCATTATTGGATCTCACAAGCCATTAAAGGCTCTTTGTAAGTGTGATTAAAGATAAAGCTAGTAAAGCAGAAAAAGCCAATGTTCTTCACTTACAGGAGCACAACTTCAATTTGTAGATAAACATACCCGTTGTGTGATTGCTATAATTGACAAGTACATGTAAACCAACTGACTTAAGTACATGTATCTGTGATCAATCCAAAGAAAAATGTTGTCTTTTAAACCTGTACTACCAGGCAATATATTGAATGTCCATATTTATGTCTGGTAGATGAACGCAACAATTGATAGGTATTTCCAGGGGAACTGCAATTACTTCCTGAAAACTGGGCTCTCTGCTTGTTTTGTTTGTTGGAAACTCACTGACATAAAACAAATGTTGCAAAAGATACGGACAGGCAATAGCTGTATTAGCACTTATATAACTATACCACCACAAGTAATCACCAGAATAACAATACTGGTTAAAATATGCTTTTTGGAGATGTTTTCTTACTTGTAAAAGCCTCGTGTAGCTGTAGATATATAGGCTAAAAATAGCTGCCTATTATGCTGCCAGTATGGGTTTATTTTATTTGGTTACTGCTACACGCCCAAGACTTCTGAATGAGTAATGTGACAGACTAAACCTGACAGCAGGTGCTTTGAGGTAACTGCTGATCAATTAACTCAACTGGAGATACCTGGATCATCAGATGTGATCAAAGTATTTTTCAAAAGAAAGACAGGTTCCTGCCATTTCAAAAAAATAGGGATTTTTTTATTTTTGTAACCCTGAGATTTTTGCTCAATGCAACATAATATTCTAGGTGATGGCTGCCGTCAAGATAAAGAGATGATCATACTTTTCAAAATGCTGTGCCTAAATGAAGCCTTAAAAAAGCATATATAAAACATATGGTACAAATCCTAAATTTCTATTTTTAAATGCCTTGAAGCTAATTTATTTAATTTTAAACATTTTTTTCTCCAAAAGTTAGGAATTCATTACATCTACAGAATTAAATATAAGTGCAGTTCCTAAAAAGAACTATTGTTTCCACACAATTATAAGAGAGGTAAATATGTTTGATGCACTGGGAAAACAGTAAACCCAGTAAACTTCAAAGTAAAAACAGAAGTATCTGAACTGATTTGACAAGCTTATACCACCACTGTAAGCCTAAGAAATACCTATGAGCTGAAAACTTAGAATATAAAATCCTATCTGAAAGGAGATTTACTGGATAAAGTTATACCCAGTGGAAAGCAATGAGTTGAAAGAGAATTCTGCCTACTGTGAACTGCAGAAAAGTGCAGAATTTTGAGACACAAAATTGCTCAGAACTCCTCCCTCCAAGGAAAAATTTTCCATGACAATGAGGACAAGTAAGAAAATAATGTTAGTTGTTGTCAACCACATCAATCCACCCACTGAGACGTGAACCTGGAAGCCAAGCAAGCCTTGCCAGATCAGATTCTTGTTTGTAGATCTCCCCAACAAGGAACAAATGTGCAG